AAAAACAAAAATCTATAAAAAGTCAATTTTCAAAAACTATAAAACATACAATTTCGATCAGTTCTTGAAAGATCAATATTCATTTCTAAATTTTGTTCATCTTCATTATTCAGTAAACCAGCTGGAACTTCAGCTAATGCTGTACCTAAAATAAGAAGAAAAAAAATATTTTTTTTTTTCTTTGTTTCTTCAACAAAATATTTTAATCTTACGTTTCTTAAACATAAGCATTTCTTTTTTATATAATTCATTACGTGGTAAAATTTCAAGTGATGAAATTATTGTTGATTGATCATCATTAATATTTTCAAATGGATTAGCAAACATAGAAATTGTTCGAAGAAGTGTATCACGTTTTTGTTCACTAATTAATGCTTGTCGAGTTCCATTCATATCATCCGACATACGAACAACCATTTGTGAAAGTGATTCAGCAAACCATGGTTGAAGAATACGTACTAATCGTATAAATATTGAACAAAGATCAAGTTTAGTTGATGATTGTTCAGTTAAATAAAAAATCCAACCAATTCTTTGTCGATCAATTATTGAAAAATCATTCGATGATAATCGATAATAATCAGTTATAAAATTTAATATTTTATCAATAATTAATGAAATAAGATTATTATCATTAAGAATTATTTGAATAATAGGTTTCCAAAATTGAATTACACATGTTGGAAGAAGATCAGATGATTCTGTAAATGAAATATTACTTAGAAAAATTTGAAATTTTTTTTGTTTTTGTTTCTATTCATTCACCTGAATCATAAGCAAGACGTGTTAATTGATTTGGTACCATTATAAAATTACCACATCGTACAAAAACTTCAGCCATTATTTCTCTAAAGAAAATTCTTTTTTCTTATACAAATGTATTAATATATATTTACTTTCCATTACACATTTGTAATGCTTTACGTATTTCTTCAACATGTTCATCAACTAATTGTAATCGTTTTTTACTTCGTTTTATAAAAAACTATAAGAAAATAAATTTTCTTATTAGTTTTTTCATAAATTTTTAAGAAAATAAAAAACAAACAAACAAACATTAAGACGAGCTTCAACATAAGCTTGAACAGTTTCACGAGCAATTATTTCAAGTAATTCACTATATGAACCTTCACTAAAAAGTGCCATTGTTTCAACTAATTCATCAAGACAATTTTTCTATTATAATAACAGAAGAAAAAAAAATATATTAAATAAACATTAATTATGCAAAATAATATTATTCATTTACTCGAAGCCATTGTTTACTAAAATCAACAGCAGCAAGTAAGTCACATAATGATGGTAATTCATGATGATGAGCAATATCATGACGTAAACTAATTATATGACCAGGTAAATCAACCTAAATGAAAGACAAAATGAATGAATGAAATTTTTAAAAAAATTACAACATACTTGTTTAGCAATATTTCGATATGAAAGACGAGAATGATGAACACGATATGGAACACTAACAGCATCGACGAATCTTGACGAAAAGAATAATTTAGAAAATTTACAATAACGAATTTAAGGATGATATGCGAATCACTAGTATAATACTGATAAAAAATATAAGACCAATGTATTCTCATTTTTTTTGTTCTATAATACCAGGCATTTAACTCAAATTGAAATAGTAGTTTGAATAGCCAATGAAGTTCTCTAACAAATGTATTCCATATAGAAATTTCATAGATGAACTATGAGAGGAAAGTTTCTCGAAAATCAAACAAGGTAGTTTTCTAATTTCAGAAAACTATGTAAAAATTAGTTTTTAAGAATACTAAAACCTTGATGAAATGAAGGGTCGACGCATTCTCTACAGCTGTCCATTAAAAACTTCTAAGTATCACAGAAAAATTAACAAAATACAATTTTTAGCAATGTTATAATGAATTCGATTATTGTTCATTTTTTGTGATACTTATAAATTTTTAAGAGAAGCTCATAGGAAATGTGGTGACTCCTCATTGTATTCAAGATTTTGTGCTGTTTAAGATTATACTCTTAAAAATTAAATTTTACAGCCTTCTAGAACCTGAAAACTACCATGTTTGGTTTTTCAAGAAACTTTCTTCTCATAGTGAATCTGTATGTAATACATTTGATAGAGAACTTCATTGACTATTCAAATTACTATTTAGATTTGAGTTAAATGCATAGTATTATCGTAGAAAAAAAAAACAAAAATACATTGATCTTATATTTTCAACCAGAACGGTAAATGTCTGATTGAATTTCTATTATTATAATAGTTTGAATATTAGACATGAATTTACTTTAATACAGCTACTGCACAAGCATATTGTAGAGAACTATTTTCATCAACTCTATTTTGTTCTTGTTGTTCTGCTCGAATTATTTCAACTTTAAGAATATGTTTTAACGAACCAAGACCCATTGGTAAGTGACTTATTCTAAAAATATCAAAATTCATTCAATTGAAATAGACATTATTT